ACACCTGCGAGCTTGTCCCAGAAGACGGGCCAGACCCAAAATGATTGCCATCAAATGTCTAATGCTCTTCCCTCCATCTGCAATGTCCACCCACCCTCAGCTAGAGGACACCTCCCCCAGTGCCCAGTCAGAACACCGGACCCCTCTGTGCACCTGTGCCTGGCACCTCCTCCACACTCCTAGGCTCCTGGTTCCTTGCAGCAGGGTCTGAACCCTCGGGGGGCTGTGGGCTCCTTGAGGCCAGATGCTGGGCCTGGCCTTCTCCACCTCCTCCACCGGCCCAGGCTGCACTTTATAACCTCTCCCACCCACCTCGGCGGTGGAGGTCGCAGCTGGGCCACCTGGATGGCCCTGCCTGGGAGAGAGGAACCAAGGGCTCTGGACTTTAACTCCCTTCCTAAATGAAGCTTTGCCCCATCTATAGGAGCTCCTACAGGACTCTCCAAAAGAGGAGGAAAGAGAGGGGGTGAAGGAGTGGGAAGCAGGATGGGGAAAGCAGACACTCTGCCAGCAAACAGGCAAAGAGGAACTGAGCTGAGTCTCTGCCGTGGGTTGGTGTAAGTGGGTCCCTGGCAAGGGGAGGGAAAGTGAGAACAAGAAGAAAGGCTGACCGGGTTGGAAGGTGAGGATAAAATATAACCACCATGCGCACCAAACACACACTGGCTCAACAGGTTTCGGCCACCCAGATCAACAGGGAGATCATTTCTGGCACCCCATAAGGCTTCCCCACGTCAGGCTGGATGTGGCATGGTGACTCACACCTGTAATCCCAACACTTTGGGAGGCCGAGGTCAGCAGATCACTTGAGGTCGGGAGTTCAAAACCAGCTTAGCCAACATGGTGAAACCCCATCTCTACTAAAAATACAAAAATTAGCTGGGCGTGGTGGCGCACACCTGTAATGCCAGCTACTTGGGAGGCTGAGGCAGGAGAATCACTTGAGCCAGGGAAGTGGAGGTTGCAGTGAGCCAAGATGGTGCCACTGTACTCCAGCCTGGGCAACAGATCGAGACACCGTCTCAAAAAACAAACAAACCAAAAAAGGCCAGGAGCAGCAGCTCACACCTGTAATCCCAGCACTTTGGGAGGCTATGGCAGGGGGATCACAAGGTCAGGAGTTTGAGACCAGCCTGGCCAAGATGGTGAAACCCTGTCTCTACTAAAAATACAAAAATTAGTCTGGCATGGTGGCCTGCGCCTGTAATCCCAGCTACTCGGGAAGCTGAGACAGGAGAATCGCTTGAACCAGGAGGCAGAGATTGCAGTGAGCCAAGATCATGCCACTGCACTCTAGCCTGGGTGACAAAGCAAGACTCCATCTCAAAAAAAAGGTTCCCCCATGTCCCTTGCCAGCATGTGCCCTGGGCAGGTGTGAAGAAGTGATGTACTGCCAGCAGAACCCTGGCTGATGCCTGACTTACACATCTCACAATTCACCCTGTGCAGGCTGTGGGTCAAGCTGTAGCAGGCCCAGGTCTCCCTCCTTTTCCAAGTGGTAAGAATAGCAGCCTTCAATCGTTGAGATCTTCTATGTGCATGGGAGCGGGGGAGAGGGAACTATTCTAGTCACTTACATATGTGGGTGGTAGGTCCCAAATAAGAAATGCAAGAAATACAGCATTCATTGGACTTGCTTTAAATCAAGCGAGATTTTTGCCAATTAACATCCTGCTGGGCTGCTCAGAAATCCAGCCTTGGATATGACAGGGGCTCCAGCCCTCCCAGGATTCTCTCTCGCTCACGGGGTTTTCTGGAGCACCAGAGCTACAAGGAGCTCCTAGACCAGATCATCCATCTGCCTCGGTTACCATGGAGATGTCTATTTCTCCAGAGGATGCAATCCGTTCCTGGAGGAAGAGTCTGCTGCTTCCACGCCACGTCGGTGGCCTTGGAGAATCTTATTGGGGTCGAGGGTCCCAAGGTGTCCCACACAGCCATGCCTTTATCACATCCCAAGGAACACCATGGAGAGGTGCCCACCTCTGCCCCATCCTCATTCAGAGGGTTCGCTCCTGTCCTCTGCTGCTCTCTGAGGCTCTCTCTCTCCCTTCCCCTGTGGGAAACTGGCATAATCTATTTAGTGGTTTCATAACTTTATATTTTTATCCTGCTGTACATAGCCTCCTCTTTAAATCTCCTCAAGAGCCTATGAGAGGGGCATTATTGTCTCTGTCATACAGAGGAGAAAAATGCAGGCTGGGAGGGGCTAAGTAGTCCAGGCAGCAAGATGGAGAAGATATTCAGATACAGACACTCTGGAGCCTGTGCTTTGTACCCTGACCTTGGCTGCCCAGGTGACAGCACCTCAGAGCCAGGAGCACAGTAATGGCCAGCATTAACAGCAGGCATGCATGTCACTTTCAAACTAATTCTCCTCAGGCTCCTGGGGCTGGGACAACCTCCCACACTGGAAGATGGACTTCAGAAGACCCTTCTGGAAATGCTCCCAACCTGGGAGAACAGAGCTTCAGACTTTAGACCTGGGAAGAGATCACCCTGTTCTCCTTTTATGGAGCATACAACTGAAGCCCTGAGGGGTAAATCAGGTCACCCACAAAGCCAGTGGCAAGTCAAGAACTGAGTCTCAGGTCCAGTGTGGTAGCTCACATCTGTAATCCCAGCACTTTGGAAGGCCAAGGTAAAGGCTTACTTGAACCTAGGAGTTCAAGACCGGCCTGGGCAACATAGTGAGACCTCATCTCTACTAAAAATTAGCTGGCCATGGTGGCACATGCCTGTAGTCCCAGCTACTCAGGAGGCTGAGGCAGAAGGATCGCTTAAGCCCAGGAGTTCAAGGCTGCAGTAAGCTATAATGGTACCACTGCACTCTAGCCTAAGTGACAAAGCCAGACCCTGTCTCAAAAAAAAAAAAGAACTGAGTCTTGGCCAGGTGTGATGGCTCATGCCTGTAATCCCAGCACTTTGGAAGGCTGAGGTGGGCAGATCACTTGAGATCAGGAGTTCAAGACCAGCCTGGGCAATGTGGTAAAACCCCATCTGTACCAAAAACACAAAAATTAGCCAGGGATGGTGGCACCTGCCTATAATCTCAGTTACTCGGGAGGCTGAGGCAGAAGCATAGCCTGAACCCAGGAGGTGAAGGTTGCGGTAAGCCAAGATCATACCACTTCACTCCAGCCTAGACGAAAAAGTGAAATTCTGTCTCGAAAAAAATTTTTAGTATAACAAAATATTGCATGAACACTGGAAAGGACAGCTCCGATTCATTCATTCACACTCTCTCCCCAAACCCTTTCCAGCAGAACCACGTCTGTGAGTGTAAAGGTTCCCAAGTTGGCAGGCTGGGTCCATAGCTTCTCAAACAGCGATGACCATGAGACTGGGATGCCCATGACCCGGCCATGGTTCCTCCTTCCTGATGTCAAGGAAACTACACTATTAATCAAGTTTATTTAGTAAATACAGAATCAATTCAGAAAACAAGTAGGAAAAAAAAATAAAAAAGAATCAAAACAAACTATCAGGCCAGGCACAGTGGCTCCTGCCTGTAATCCCAGCACTTTGGGAGGCCAAGGCGGGCGGCATCGCTTAAGCCCTGGAGGCTGAGGCTGCAGTAAGCCTCGATGGTGCCACTGCATTCCAGCCTGGGTGACAGGGACCTTGTCTTTATATATGTATCTATATATACACACATATATATACACACACATATACATACACACATATATATACATATGTATATCAGGCACACCTAGCTTTTCCTCACTCAGAACTTTTCCCCTGGCAGGCACATGCCCTGCCCCACAGTGGACTCCTTCCTACCCTCTCTGTCAGCTGGAATGTTGCCTCCCCAGAGGCCTTCTCTGACCACCCCATCTGAAGGAGCCCAGCCCTGTTACATCACCCTGTTTATCTCCTTTATGGCACCAATCACAATGTCATTATCTGTTTTTTGTTTGTTTGTTTTTTGAAAGAGAGAGTCTTGCTCTGTTGCCCAGTCTGGAGTGCAGTGGCACCATCTCGGCTCACTGCAGCCTCCTCTTCCAGGGTTCAAACAATTCTTGTGTCTCAGCCTACCGAGTAACTGGGATTACTGGCACTCGCCACAGCATCTGGCTAATTTCCATATTTTTAGTGAAGACGGGATTTCACCACGTGGGCCAGGCTGGGTGATCAACCTCCTGATCTCAGGTGATCCGCCCACATCGGCCTTTCAAAGTGCTACGATTACAGGCGTGAGCCACCACGTCCGGCAACCCCGCGTCTCTTTTCACCACTCCACTTACCCCTGCAACTGAGAGTGTTGAAATAAATAAACTGAAAGCAAGAAAGGTTGACTGCTTTGAAGGAAATACTTCATCTAAGCTCTGGAAAGGCTCTACTCCACACAAGCTGTGCGACATAAAGGACACCCTCTGGTGCCAGAATTATTCTCGGGGGGGCGGGGGCCAGAGCCAGTTACTATCCCTTGAACTCATGCCAATGAGCTGGGCACACTTTCCTTAGATGGATTAATCTAATCTAAATGAAAAATTTAGATTAAACCACTTTAGAATAGTCTAAATGGCAATCTAAATTATGCGGTTACCGTTTTGATTATATTATTCTATTTCGATTAATCAAAGTGCCGCCCTAAATCCCGCTGTGGCTCAGTAGGGTGGGTAGGTAGGTGGGTTTGACACAGCGGGGATTTATCCTGTTTGGGAGGTTCAGCATCTAAATCCCCTCTAAGGAATGTCCATCTAACCTATGAAACACCGCTTTTCGAGCAGGCAGCGATGCAACAGGGTCAAGAAAGTGGAACGTACCAAAGGACACAGTGCGTAGGCGCGCTCGAAACCGTGGCCGGTTTTTTCGACAGCCCAGACACCGTCCACCCGCACTGCGCAGGCGCCGAGACAGATCAAGCTTTCCCTCCCCCTCCCACCTCTCCTAGAGTCAAGAGGACGCCCTCCTGCCGCAGACTTCCTGCGCAAGCGCCATCCCGTGTCCCCGCCCTCGAACCAATTGGAAGCGGCGCCGCATGGGCACTTGGGGCACGACACCGTGGGTGGGGCCGGGACGTGAGGGCAGCGTGCTGGCGTCACAGGGGCGGCTATATAAGTGAACACAGGCACCGCCCCTCTGCCCCAGTCACTGAGCCGCCGCCGAGGACTCAGCAGCCTCCCCCTTGAGCCCCCTCGCTTCCCGACGTTCCGTCCCCCCTGCCCGCCTTCTCCCGCCGCTGCCGCCTTCCGCAGGCCGTTTCCACCGAGGAAAAGGAATCGTATCGTATGTCCGCTATCCAGAACCTCCACTCTTTCGGTAAGCTACAGGGAAGGTCGCAGGCTCGGGTGGGGCAGCGGGGCCTTCCGGGCCCGGAGACGGGTTCCGGGAAGCTGCCAAGCCCTTCGGGCCTTCGTAAGCTCGGGCAGGGAAAAGATGTCCAGGGTTGCAGGGCAGCGGGATCGAGGCCTGGGCCCCGGGGTCGGACCCTGAGCGCGACCGGAAGGAGCGGGTGGGAGATCAGCTCTTGGGCGGGCTCGGCGTCTCGGTGGCGCATTTACTAATGGCTCCTGGATTTCTTCAGGCCACACCCGCCCTTCCCACCACCCTTGCGTCCTGTCCGTTACGTCACCAGCCGTTGTCACGGAGCCGAAGGGAAAGGCGGTGCCAGCTCTTAAGTGGCAGGCGTGTGCACCAATGGGAATGAGGCTTGGCCCCGCCTCGGTAGCTCGGGTTCCGGCGGGTTGCATCAGCCGGGTGGGGCACCGCCTGCCAGCCCGGGCTCCCTCGACACGTGATCGGCTTCCCAGGCAGAGGGGGAGGTCCGGGCGTTCCCCGAGTCTGAGGAAGCCGGCCGTCCCTGACTGACCTGCTCAGGGAGAGCCAGCAAAGAACTCATTCGGCCTCACCCAAGCACTGTCGATTTCATTGTTATTTTCTGCATACGCAAAATATCTGGGGGGATGGCACTTGCATCTGAGCCTTGACAGCTCTGAACGAGCTTAACCTTTCTTTTCAGACCCCTTTGCTGATGCAAGTAAGGGTGATGACCTGCTTCCTGCTGGCACTGAGGATTATATCCATATAAGAATTCAACAGAGAAACGGCAGGAAGACCCTTACTACTGTCCAAGGGATCGCTGATGATTACGATAAAAAGAAACTAGTGAAGGCGTTTAAGAAGGTAGGTCTTAAGTGAGATTGCGGAAAAGTCATAAATGGATTTGTCCACAAGGGGGTGCCCGTTGTGTTGTATTGTTAGCAGAGGGGTATAAATGTATTCATGCTCTTGCTCGGCCTAATTTATTTTGTTTCCTTTTTGCTTGCAGAAGTTTGCCTGCAATGGTACTGTAATTGAGCATCCAGAATATGGAGAAGTAATTCAGCTACAGGGTGACCAACGCAAGAACATATGCCAGTTCCTCGTAGAGGTGAGTTCAGTCACTCTTGATTGTGCCTCTCTACTGGTAAATTTTAGATGCTATTAGTTTCTGCTGGGGGCATAAAAGTTGGCTAAGGCTGAGCAAAACCACAGTTGGGTTTTAAAGTACATAGACTTATGGTTTTTTTTTTTGTTTTTTTTTGTTTGTTTGTTTTTTTAATAAAGACGGGGTTTCACCATGTTGGCCAGGATGGTCTCGATCTCTTGACCTCATGATCCACCTGCCTTGGCTTCCAAAGTGCTGGGATTACAGGTGTGAGCCACCACACCCGGCCAACTTATTTCTCTTATATTTAAAAAAAGGTAGAAGGAACTTATCTGCCTTCGATTTACTGTTTGTGTGGATCTACTTTACAGATGCAAATTTCAGTAGCGCACAGATATATTGCAAAATAAGCTAAATGCTGGCTTGTTTCTGTATTTGTACGGATATGAGGTTTTAAAAATGAATTTCCTGAGTATTAATACTAAAATACTATATTGTCATCTCTTGATATAATTGAAGAGATTTCAGATATCTGACAAGTCTCATTCTCTACTTCAGAATCTTGGAAGGCACTGGGTGTTCAAAAAAGGTGGCTCTTAACTGAGGACCCTCCGTTGAGCCATTGTGTGCACCCCTGGCTCTTGGACGGTGTAGTAGCAGGAAGGCAGGGTTGTTGCCATTAGAAATGGAGCCTTTAACACTCCCTGTCCACCATTTAAAACTTTGCCTTTTTGTTTTTTCAGATTGGACTGGCTAAGGACGATCAGCTGAAGGTTCATGGGTTTTAAGTGCTTGTGGCTCACTGAAGCTTAAGTGAGGATTTCCTTGCAATGAGTAGAATTTCCCTTCTGTCCCTTGTCACAAGTTTAAAAACCTCACAGCTTGTATAATGTAACCATTTGGGGTCCGCTTTTAACTTGGACTAGTGTAACTCCTTCATGCAATAAACTGAAAAGAGCCATGCTGTTTAGTCTTGAAGTCCCTCATTTAAACAGAGGTCAAGCAGTAGGTGCCTGGTAGTGTCAAGCTTGAAACCAAGCAGTACCATCATGATTCAGCCAAACCCAGAGCCCTGAGATCACAGACAACCATGGCCAGAAGCTCCTCCGCTCTCCCTCTGCAGAGTTCCCTGCCCTAAGAGAATGTTACCACCTGAACAGTCCTCAGTGAATCTGAAAGGAGAGGATGGGGTAAGGCAGCACCAGCAGCTGTACCACTAGAAGGGAGCCTCTGGTGGTAGAAGATCCCCTGGTGTCTCCAGCCTGACCTGGTCAGAGTTCAGAGAGGCCCCCTTCCCTCTAGTGAGATGATAGGACATCTGGCTTGCCACAAAGGTCTGTTTGACTAGACGTATCCTAGCTAAGGGATGTCCAAACATCAGAATGTGAGGCTAACCTTCTATCAGAGTTAAACTTTTGACAAGGGAACAAATCTGAAACTGATGAGTCATGTAGCTAGCTGTAGAGCTTGCACCTTAATAGCAGTGGCTGCCTAATGCCATGTGAAGTAACAAACTGGTTTTTGGTTTTTTTCCCTTTCAGTTTTAATGTTATGTGTAATGTATTTAAACCCTTATTTAAATAAAACTTGTTTTCAGAAATACCTGACTTGCAGATTCTATTTATATATATATAGTCGATCTTGTAAATATAAAGGAACTACAGAAATTAGCAGTGGAGAGTATGTCTGTACCCACAGCTTCTCAACAGGGGCCTGAACTTGGCCAAGAAAACCTTTATGAGCTTGTCCCTCTCTAGTCAACTGAATTTTTTTTGTCTCTTTGAGGTGGAGTGCAGTGGCACAATCACTTACTACAACCTCTGCCTCGGGTTCAAGCAATTCTCATGCCTCATCCTCCCTAGTAGCTGGGATTATGGGCACTGATTTTTGTGTTTTTAGTAGAGACGGGGTTTAACCATTTTGGCCAGGCTGGTCTTGGACATCTGGCCTCAAGCAATCCCACCTGCCTCGGCCTCCCAAAGTGTTGGGATTACAGGCGTGAGCCACGCTGCTCAGCAGGTCAACTATTTTTGCAAGCATTTACCCAGAGTCATGCTGTCCTGTTTATCAGTGTTTTGGAATAAGGGGCTGCATGGCTGAGATTCTTGGCCGCCAACAGCCTGAATGATGCATTGGTCTCTGGGCTATCAATGTTAGCTGTGGAGGAACTTTGATAGAGTAGGTTGCTTGGAAACCTTGGAGTCCCCTCAGTAACAGCCTTGGTTTAAGGGCACAGAATGGAAGGAGATGCAGGCTCTGTAACAAGGACAGTCATGCTGTGGGTTAAGATCCTCAAATTGCTAGGAGTGTGTGTACTCTGGGTACTGAGTTTGTAGTATTTGAAGAGCTGAAGTGTTAGGAGGCCATCCCTCATAAAGGACAATGAGTGGCAAGTAAAAGACCAAGTTCTGTTCCTGGGTCCATTAATTTAGTTTAAAAAGTTCTCCCACGCTTGGTGTGGTGGCTCACGTGTAATCCCAGCATTTCAGGAGGCCGAGGAGGGCGGATCATCTGAGGTCGAGAGTTCGAGACCAGCCTGACCAACATGGAGACACTGTCTCTACAAACTAAAATTAGCCGGCTATGATGGTGTATGCCTATAATCCCAGCTACTCGAGAAGCTGAGGCAGGAGAATCTTGAACCCAGAAGGCAGAGGTTGTGGTGAGCCAAGATTGCACCATTGCACTCCAGCCTGGGCAACAAGCGAAAATCAGTCTCAAAAACAAAACAAAAAAAGACTCCCAGCACGCATATCTGGATGTAGTCACGTGCTTTCTAAGGATGCTTCATTCAACAATGAGCCTCATACATAGCTTTGCTACAATAAGATTATAATGCATTTTGGGGGGTGGTTTTTTGGGTTTTTTGGTGTTTTTTTTTTTTGATATGGCATCTTGCTCTGTTGCCCAGACTAGAGTGCAGTGGCGTGATAAATATTGTTTTGTTTTGAGACTGTTGCTCTGTTGCCCAGGCTAGAATGCAGTGGGGCAATATTGGCTGGCTAACCTCCGCACCCCTGGCTCAAGCAGTTCTGTGCCTCACCCTGTACCTTTAATGTGTTCAAATACACAGATGCTTAACACTGTGCTACAGTGGCCTACAGCAAGCTTGTGTGGATGGCTTTGAATGTGGCCCAACACACATTATTTTTTCTTTTTTTTTTATTCACATGGGTGCAGGTGGGCTAAGGCCAAAAAGGGCGTTAGCCTTTTTTTTAAAAACACAAACTCTTAAACTTTGTGAAAACATGAAATTTTTTTGGCAATTTTTTTTTAGCTTATCAACTATTGTTATTGTATTTTACGTGTGGCCCAAGGAAGCCAAAAGATAGGATACTCCTGGCCTATAACATTCAGTAACATGCGGTACAGGTTTGTAGCCCAGGCGCATAGTAGGCTGTACCATACACACCCAGGCGCGGAGCAGGCTGCACCATCTTAAATTTGTGTAAGTACATGATAATGTTCATAGAAAACACAACATCACCTAACGATGCATTTCTCAAAACGTATCCCCACCAGTGAGGAATGCAAGACTACTAAGTTTACTGCCAGCCCATTTTGTAGATAAGGGTACGCAAGGGGTGAGTTAGGTTAGAGGCCAGGTCAGGAAACAGCCTAAAACCAGGTGAGGTATAGAGGAAGGCTGGTGAGAGGCTGAACCTGTGGCAACTGCCCTAAAACTGGGTGATGATTGTATTGCAATACCACAGACTGCATAATGGATAGAGATGGATTTGGCTCACAGTTGTGGAGGCAGGGAAGTCCAAAGGCATGGCACTGGCGTCTCGTGAGGGCCATCTTGCTGCATCATAACCTGGTGGAAGGGCTGGAGAGCAAATGGGGGCCAAATCTATACTCCTGTTGTGGGCCCACTTCATTCATGAAGGCAGAGTCCCAGGACCTAATTACCTTTTAAAAGCCCCACCTCGGCCAGGCACGGTACTTCAGGAGGCTGAGGAGGTGAATCAGTTGAGACCAACCTGGGCCACATGGCAAAACCCTGTCTCTACAAACAATGCAAAAATTAGCCAGACATGATGGCACATGCCTGTAGTCCCAGCTACTCAGGAGGCTGAGGAAGGAGGCTTGCTGGTGCCCAGGAGGCCAAGGCTACAGTGAGCTGTGATTGTGCCACTCAGCCTCCCGAGTAGCTGGGACCATAGGCATGCACCACCACACCCAGCCAATTTTTGTAGAGACAGGGTTTAGCCGTGTTACCCAGGCTGTTTCAAACTCCTGGACTCGAGCAATCTGCCTGCCTTGGCCTTCCAAAGTGCTGGGATTACAGGCATGAGCCACCACACCCAGCCATCATGCCTCCTTAATTATGCTTTTCTTCATTCAGCCTGAGATAGGTTACATCAGTTGGATGAGGGTGCTCACCAGCTTCCTCAGTTCTTTTTTTTTTTTTTTTTTTTTGACAGTCTTGCGCTGTCATCTGTCAGCTCACGACAACTTCCGCCTCCCGGGTTCAAGCGATTGTCCTGCCTCAGCCTCCCACAGAGCTGGGACTACAGGCTTGCACCACCACGCTGAGCTAAGTTTGTATTTTTAGTAGAGATGGGGTTTCTCCATGTTGGTCAGGCCGGTCCCAAACTCCCGACCTCAGGTGACAGAGTGAGACCCTGTCTCAAAAAAACAAAAAAAAAGGCACCCCACCTTCCAATAACTGTTCCATTGGCAATTAAATTTCAACATGGGTTTTGGAGGAAACATTCAAACCACAGCAGTGATTCTAACCCCAGCATCAGGAACTTGTTGTGTTAAAGGTCCTACAACACTGATCTGTTTCATGAACACAAAATAATTTAGCACTTGGCTCCAAGGCTCCAAATACAGTGGCATTGTTCAAAATAGTTGGGTGATACTTTAAATGAGTAAGATTTGACCTTAAAGTAGAAGGAAGGGCTTTTCCTAGAGGAACCTCTAGAACAGGCTGGAGGCCAAATGCACAAAAGACCACAATCAAGGTGAAACAGCAAGAGAAGAGAATTCCTTCTATGCTGTAGGCTGTGAACGCTAGGCTGTTCCATCTCATGCTTTTTAAGGCCCTCCAACTCTCTAGGATGGGATTATTCCAAGTTAAACCATCAATATCTATTAAGTCAGCTCTGTGGAGCCAAGCAAAACAAGTATCTGTGAATGTAAAACTGAGGAGGTTGGCCAGGTGTCTCATTCCTGTAATCCCAGCACTTTGGGAGGCCGGGGCGGGTGGATCACGTGAGGTTGAGAGTTTGAGACCAGCCTGACCAACATGGAGAAACCCCATCTCCACTAAAAATACAAACTTAAGGCCGGGCGCGGTGGCTCAAGCCTGTAATCCCAGCACTTTGGGAGGCCGAGGCGGGTGGATCACGAGGTCAAGAGATCGAGACCATCCTGGTCAACATGGTGAAACCCCGTCTCTACTAAAAATACAAAACATCAGCTGGGCATGGTGGCGCGTGCCTGTAATCCCAGCTACTCAGGAGGCTGAGGCAGGAGAATTGCCTGAACCCAGGAGGCGGAGGTTGCGGTGAGCCGAGATCGCGCCATTGCACTCCAGCCTGGGTAACATGAGTGAAACTCCGTCTCAAAAAAAAAAAAAAAATACAAACTTAGCCAAGCGTGTTGGCACAAGCCTGTAGTCCCAGCTCCTTGGGAGTCTGAGGCAGGAGGATCACTTAAACCCGAGAGGCGGATGTTGTTGTGAGCTGAGAACGTGCCATTGCACTCCAGCCTGGGCAATAACAGTGAAACTCCATCTCAAAAAAAAAAAAACTGAGGAAGTTGGTGAGCACCCTTATCCAACTGATGTAACCTATCTCAGGCTGAATGAAGAAAAGCATAATTAACAAGACATGATGGCCAGGTGCGGGTGGCCCATGCCTGTAATCCCAGCACTTTGGGATGCCAAGGCAGGCAGATTGCTTGAGTCCAGTAGTTTGAGACTAGCATGGGCAACATGGATAAAGCCCGTCTCTACAAAAAAAATGCAAAAATTAGCCAGGCATAGTGGTGCATGCCTATGGTCCCAGGTACTCAGGAGGCCAAGGTAGGAAGATGGCTGGAGCCCAGGAGGCAGAGGTTGTAGTGAGCTGAGATCCCACCACTGCACTCCAACCTGGGTGACAGAGTTAGACACTGTCTCAGAAAAAAAATATTGTCTCCACTTGCTGCTTTAGAAAACAATGTGATGCGGACATTCCCAAGGTTAGTAAGTTGTGGAGCCTCATCTAGAACCCCAGACTCCCTGTGTGCCACTTCTCCCTCCAGCTGGACCTGCACATTCACAATTTATGTGACTCATTTTCCCGGCAGAGCGGGAGCAGAAATAAATAAATACTCATTTTTACAGAGATTGTTGAGTGGTTAGTATCTGCAGTACACTTGGGGCATGTCAGGCAGACCCCCTGTACTCAGGGAGCTGACTGCCTGATAGGCAGATGTAAGACCAGCACACAGCCTTGACACAGGACAGAAAGGGACCCAAAGAGTCACAGGTTCTCAGGACTAGGAAATCTTCCCCACGCCCATCTGCAGCCAAGCGGGCCAGGAAGGCTTCATGAAGGAGATGCTGTCTGAAGCCAGGCATTTCGAGCAGAGAAAAAGAGTCACAC